TTTTTTTTGAATTATTTTATTTAACTTTATTTATTTATTTTAATTTGACCAGAAAGGGACAGAGTGAGCAACAGAGAAAGAGAGAGAGAGAGAGAGAGAGAAAGTGACATCAGGTCCAGGACTCAAACTGTGGTCAGCCATGTGGGAGTCCAATGCCCTTAACTACCACGCCACCTGCTGGCCCCAACACCAGAATTTAAGATTAACAGGTCTTACTTAGTTCCTTGTTAGGTATAGAGAGTGGCCACATCTGGACAAGATACTAGCGCCCTTTCAAATAGATACGGTCTTTGTGCTGACATTGCAGGGCAAGTGAAAGCTCTAACAAAGACATAGTCTGCGGTTGTCCTGCAGGGCAGTGTAAATGAAAGGAAACTGAGTGTCAGTCAGAGAAGGCCAGGGGAAACTTTAGAGCCACGAGATGCAAGATACTCCACAGCTGTCGCTGACCTTCTGCTTCTCCCTCCCGCACTGCTGTATAAAAGAATAAACCTGGGAACAACTCAGGGCTGTGGTAATCTCCACCAGAGATGCCCAGACTGCCTGATTCCCGCTTTTCTCTACTGAGTGTCTGTATCTGTTCTTTCTGCATCCACTGCTACTCCCACTCAAGGTCCACATCCATGTCTCATAGGCCGAGGCAGTCAGGCTCATTAGAAAAGCATACCAAAGTCCCATACAGACACGGTATATCAAGGTAAGGTAGTATATTTTTGCTGAAAAGAGACAGAGAAAGGGGAAGTGAGAAATCACCCCCATCCCAGGATTCCCACACCACAATCCCTTCTCCTCCATTCTCCTGTTGTGATTTGGGATACACTCACACATGCACCCAGCATAATTTTCAAGCTGCATGATTTCCAGGCTTTGAGCGTTGGTCGGCCATCTGGGAATCCAGCACCTTAACCATCATGCCACCTGCTGACCCTGCAGCAGTATTTTTTTTTTTAAAGAATTATTTTATTTAATTAAGTTATTATTATTACTTTTCAGTTTGATCAGAGAGAGACAGAGAGGGAAAGTGAGAAAGCAAGATACCAGGTCCAGGACTAGAACGGTGATCGGCCACGTGGGAGTCCAGCACCTTTTACCAGCACGCCACCTGTCGGCCCCAGGATTTTCAATCTCATTTACCACTCCAAACTTCCAGAGAGTCCAATTTTTTCTTTGGTTCTGGATAATTCACAGCCTGTAATTCCGAATATTACTTCTCTAACATTCCTTGTGTCCTCTGCTTCTGGAACTCCTGCTAGAGTATGTCTGCCATGGTGTGTGTGTCTGTAATTACTAATCTATTGAGATCAATTATGGGTCATCCCAGAGGTGACGGGATTCAGCTCCTATGGGATGAGGGGACTATCCCACCCCACACCCCATTCTTCCTGCCTTTTGGCACCCATTCATCATCTGTCTCTATGAGGCCTTTTTTTCTTTCCTGATGTCCACATGTGAGTGAGAACGTGTGGTATTTCTCTTTCTGTGCCTGGCTTATTTCACTTAACGTTGTGTTCTTCAGGCTCACCCACTCAATGTCAAATGACCGGATTTCATCCTTCTTAATGTACTCTAGCTCTTCTTTCAAGAGCTTTTGGTCCCCTCATCCCATAGGAGCTGAATTCTCAGCCACCTCTGTGTCCTTTCAGATCTGAAGTCTAGACTCTCATTTTTCTTTCTTTTTTAGGTTTTTCTTTGCCATAGGGTACATGTGCTTGCCAGACAGAGACAGAGAGAGTCAGAGGGTTTTTCATCTTTACAATGATGTGAAAGCCATCAGAATGTAACCTCTTCATACACTGAGATCTGTACTAGCATGTAATCAATACTTGCTGAATAAGGCTGGAAGAGGAGAGAAATTAGGAGCAAAGACCTGGCCCACAATTTTCTCTAGGCTGGAGTTTTTCGGTGTCAGCACTACTGATATTTTGAGCCAGATAATCTATTTATTACTGCAGGGACTGTCCTGTGCCTTATGGGGTGTTTAACTGCATCTCCCACCCAAAGGTGCTGACTAAAATGTCTTTAGATGTTGCCAAATAGCCCCTGGGGGATATTGCCTTCAGTTGAGACTGTTGCATTGAATCTACCTTCATGGTTTCTCTTTCTATCACTTGATTCTCCTTTGGGCAACAGAAAGAAATTCCTGGTCTAGGGAGAGCAGAATTACATTGTCATATTTAGAGAGAATACACAATTACAACTAAACTCCAATGATCACTTTGTACAAAGTTTATTTATAGAATACTGACCTATGTCCATTATTCTTAGAGAATGCTCAGGTAACTTGTACAACTATTATGCATATGTGCAGGACAGAGAGACAATGTACAAAGAGTGGTATTTATTGGGGGCGGGTGGCGATATCATAGATGACCTGTTGGCTTCTATTGGGCTTGAGACTTTGCTGGCCCGGTTTTCAGACGACCAGACAGTTCCCTCAGCTCCATGAGCAAGTGGCCGAGGAGAGCTCTCACATCCTGCATGTGTTTGAGCAGAGTGTTCATCTGGTGATGCAGGTGAGGGTCTGGTACCGCCAGAGGAGAGAAGCCTGGGTCCACAGCAGAAGGGGTGGGCAGCGGAGGCCGGGATTCCAGGGGCTCTGTAGGAGCGGTGTCTGGGGCAGCTGATTTCGGTTGTGGAGGATTCAAGGTGGGGGGTGCAGCAGAGCTGGAGGGACCTGGATGGCAAGGCAGGCAGCTGGTATGAGAGTGAAGTCTGACTCCGACCTGCCCTCACGTTCCTGGTCAGCCTTTCTTGTTCTCTGAAAGTGGCTGTGGCCCAATGGTAGCAGGGACTTGAGGACTCTAGTGACCCTCCCAATCCAAATGTTCGTCTATGCAGCTACCTCTGCTTGGGAACCGTCAGTGATGAGGCCCCGTCATCAGACAGCTTAACTACGGCCAGTTCCTCCCGTTTCGGGACAGAATCTCCTTCCTGGAAGCGTGGATATGGTAACTGGTTCTACGGCTACCTCTCCATACGCCATCAGTCTAACTCCCTGCCCTTGTGCCAGCCTTCATCTCTCTGTCTGGGGACCCCTCTGCCAGCTGGAGGCCCTGCCTCTCCAGGCCCCCATCTCTAGTCCTTTGCACTATTCTTCGTATGGCATGGCCTCAAGCCCCTACATCATGCTGGGCACCGTCTCTGCCTGTATTTCGAGTCACATGTAGGCTTCTTAAGGTCCCAGAATTGAGCAGAGGGTCCAGACCACCTCATCTTCATTCTAGATATTACACAAGTTCCCAGAGATCATGAAGGAATTGTCAGGTCTCTGGGGCGGCAGGGGTGGGACTGGCTCAGGTCTTGGTTTGGTGAGCATGCACGGTGGCCTGAAGGAGAAGCTTGCTATTGGTGCTCTCTGGGTGGTGGGAATTCTGGCTAATGGTTCCTGCCTCCTCTGTGCCCCTTAACAACCTGCTCACACTGGACCCAGCTCAGGGCTCAGTCCACGTCCCCCATGTCCACAGCTGCACACACATGAACTCACTCTGCACGCGGAGCTCCAGCTGGGGGCTCTGTTTCCACACTTGGTTGTCCTCGGTGGCGGCCTCACACCAGTAGGACCCAGAGTGCGCTTCTGAGACCGTGGGTAGCTGGAATTCTGCAGAGAGGCCCTTGCTTCGCATCATCCTTCCATCCTTGTAGAAGGAGAAGAGGAGGCGGGCGGCTGACCTCTGCAGGGGCAGCTTTGTCTGGCAGGTCAGGGTCACTGGGCTTCCCTCTTGGAGCTCAGCTGAGGGTGTGGCTCTGAGAACTGGAGCTGGAAACAGTTCTGAGGAGACAATAGGCAAGGAACAAGGGCTCAGTCGCCTCGTATTCAGGAGGACCCAGGAGAGGCAAAGCCCTTCATGCTTCCTCTCCCCTGTCAGAAAGGAGCTCTCTCTAAAAAGGGCCCACTGGCCACATGGATCCTGAACTTCAGCTGTGAAATAGTACTTTCAGAGAATTAAAATGAAGATTTTTCTGCTGAGACTTCTTCCTCACTTACTTCTAGAAAGGCACAAACCCAGGCCCACCTCCACATGGATCCTGAATTTCAGCTGTGAAATAGTACTTTCAGAGAAGTCAGAAAGGAGCTCTCTCTAAAAAGGGCCCACTGGCCACATGGATCCTGAACTTCAGCTGTGAAATAGTACTTTCAGAGAATTAAAATGAAGATTTTTCTGCTGAGACTTCTTCCTCACTTACTTCTAGAAAGGCACAAACCCAGGCCCACCTCCACATGGATCCTGAATTTCAGCTGTGAAATAGTACTTTCAGAGAATTAAAATGAAGATTTTTCTGCTGAGACTTCTTCCTCACTTATTTCTACTCCTACAGAGTAAATGTCTAGACAGGTCCAAGTGAACAGGATCTAAACATCTGAACATAATTAGGGTCAGAATATCCATTCCCACTGATTTTGATGCACAAAGAGTGAGAACAGAACAGAAGAGAGATTGCAGATCATCTCATTCTGCATGCCTCTGAACACTCAGACTGAAGTTCAAGAATTAGAAGAAATGGAACCAGCAGTTAGCATAATGTCTATGTTGCTGGATTCCCATGTAGTCAACCTCGGTTTGAGTCCCAGACACGGTGGCTTAAACTCAAGCTGGGTGCGTGTGCGTGCATGTGCATGTGTGCCCAAGATCCCGAGAGGAGAATGGAGGAGAAGGGATTGTGGCGTGGCCATCCCCCCTGGGGGGGGATTTCTTGCTTTCTATCTCTCTGTCTCTCTCTGTCTTTCTGGTGAGCACATGCACCCTATAACAAAAATCTCTCAAAAAAAAAAAATAAATAAATAAGAATTAGAAGAAATGTACCATCCATCAGATGATTAAAAATCACTGCAGGGTCACAAGAAATATATATTAAAAAAAAAGAAAAGAAAAGAAAATATCTCTCCTCCAAGGAAAAGAATAACTCTTCATCCTCAGACAGTATGATGAAATTCATGGAATGTCAGATAAAAAATTTTGAATTTTGATGGTGACAAAGCTCACAGAGATCGAAGAGAAGAGAGGCAATGAACTGCTGAAGAGGTAGGGGAAAGGAGCTGACGAGTTCCAGGAGGTGAAGAAATTCTTGCAAGACCTAAAAGAGGAAATTCAAACTATAAAAAAGAATCAAATGAACCTGTTAAACATGAAGACTATAATACAGAAAGTCAAAATCTCCCTTGAAAATATTCAAAGAAGACTAGATCACACTGAAAATCGAATCTCAGATGTAGAAGATAGAATCGCTTGTCTAGAAAAATACACTACAAAGACTGAGAAAATTGCCCCCAAAAATGAGAATAATATATGAGAAATACTAGATACCATCAAATGTCCAAACATCTGGATAATTGGTATCCCAGAAGGGGAAGAGACCCATAAGGGCATTGACAATCTATTCCATGAAATCCTGCAAGAAAACTTTCCAAACCTAGAGAGGCATTCAAAGATCCAGTCCCAAGAAATACAAAGGACCCCCCAATAGAATCAACCCAAGAAGATCTTCTCCAAAACACATTATAGCCAGATTGAGCAAAACTGTAGACAAAGATAAGATACTAAGATTGGCAAGAGAGAAACGGCAAGTTACCCACAAAGGATATCCCATCAGGCTAATAGCGGATCTCTCATCAAAAACAATGTTAGTCAGGAAAGAATAGGAAAATATATTCAAAGTGTTAAGGGAAAAGTAATTGCAACCAAGGATACTATACCCAGCAGGATTATCCTTCATGTGGGAAGAAAAGACAAGAACATTCTTAGATAAACAAAACCTGAAAGATTTTACAATAGCAGACCAGATCTCCAAGAAGTTCTGCAAGGAATGCTATATCAGGAAAATGAAATACAGTCACACAGAAATAAAGAGTTCAAAAACTAAGAAAATGGCCAACTTAATCATGGGGACGTCTGGAGTTGAATATTATATCCCAGAATTTAATTGGGAAAATTGAAACACAACATGAGACTGAACTGGTGAAAGAATTTTATGACTTTTGACTAAAACATTGCTGATTTTCTTCTAGGCTTTGTTTTCCAGTTTTAAGGATTTTTGTCTTGTCTTGGGCTGCCGATAGGTTCATGTACTTACTATTTGAACAGAATACCAACCTGTTTCCTGGCTTTAAGTTTTAAGCATATTTCCTTAGCATTTCTTTGGTTTATAAAAGCTAAATCTGCTTTTCTTGAAATTAAAAAAATATAGTAAAAAATACATAATTAATGACTATAGTAAACTATATAGTATCAGCTAGATGCTACCTTGTAGTATATTCACTACTCAGTTTCATGCCTAAAGTCAGACATGTATCCATAGATATGTATATATCAGCAGAGCTTGCTATTAAAAGTAGTTAGATTATTTAAGAAATTTTGTGAATCAATAAAATGTGGGGGGGAAAGGGAATGGAAAACAACTGTGGACACCTGATAGTGTGGGAGGAGGTGGGAAATGGCAGAGGGTGAGAAATAGGAGGAATATAAATATATATATGTGTATATATGTATACACACACACACATATATATATATGAAACTAGAAATAGAAAATTATTGATGATAACATGTATGATTAAGCCACTATGCAGCATATTCTGGATGGGAAATCACATTTTGTATGCTGTGACAATGCTCAGTGAATGAAGGTAAATTAATTAATTGAAAACCAAAACTTTTTTTAAATGTGTGTGTGTGTATATATATATATATATCAAGAAGTGGAAAATTATTTGTCAACAATAACATGTATGATTAAATTACTATATGGTGTATTCAGGATGGGAAATCACATTTGTATGCTGTAATGATGCTCAGTGAATGAATGTAAAATAAATTTAATTAAAAAATAAATAAAAATAAAATAAATAAATAAAAAGGGCCCACTGGGAGACCAGCAAATGGCATAATGGTTACGTCACTGGGCTCGCACAAAGTCAACAGTGGATTGAGTCACACATCCAGAGGCTTGAAATTCATGCCAGGCACATGCGTATGCATGCCCAAGATCCCAGAGGAGACTAGAGGAGAAGGGATTGCAATGCAGCCATTCCCCCAAGGGGTGGTTTCTCACTTACTGTCTGTCTCTCTGGCAAACACATGCACCCTATAGAAAAATCTCTCCCAAAAAAAGGTTCATTTTTAGGGCCAGATGATGCCACGGCTCTGCGAGGTGACTCCAGCCCACTGGTCCAGGCTCACACCAGGAGCCCCTGAGGATGTCGGGCATATGTCCGTTCATGAACTGGAGCTGGTTGAATCAGGGCATTGAGACCCTAGGAGAGGGGACTTACTTCCTCTCTCTCTCTCTTACTCATGGAAGAAATAAACTTTTTAAAAATGTTTCAGGGTAGGGGGAAGGGGACCAGCAGATGGCATAATGGTTATGTCGCTGGAATCACACAGAGTCGACCATGATTCAAGTCCCAGACCCAGTGGCTTAAACTCAGGCCGGCTGTGTGTGCCCAAGATCCCAGGAGAAGAATGGAGGAGAAGGGATCGTAGCATGTCCATCCTCTGTGGAGGGTGATTTCTCGCTTTCTGTCTTTCTCTCTCTGTCTCTCTGGCAAGTGCATGCACCCTATAGCAAAAACCTCTCTAAAGAAAGAAAGAAAGAAAGAAAGAAAGAAAGAAAGAAAGAAAGAAAGAAAGAAAGAAAGAAAGAAAGAAAGAAAGAGAAAGTTTTCTCGCTTTCTGTCTCTGTCTCTCTGTCTTTCTGGCAAGTGCATGCACCCTATAGCAAAAACCTCTCTAAATAAATAAATGAATATTTTTTAAATTAAAAAGTTCCTAGAGCCAGCCAGTGGCATGGTGGTTAAGGTAGCTGGATCCCACATAGCCAACTTCAAGGTTTGGGTCCTTGACCTCGTGACTTTAGAAACACACTAGCTTCACACCCAAAATCCCAAAAGGAGAATGGAAGAGAAGGGATTGTGGGATGGAGGGTGACTTCTCATTTTTCCTCTTTCACTCTCCCTTTGCCCCCCCCCTTTTCAGCAAGCACACACGTCCTATAGAAAAGCTGAAACGTAATAAAAATACGAAAGGTTTCATTCGAACCTCTCAAGTTCTTCCTCTCTTACATAGATGAGACTAGGAAAGACGCAGAGTTGGGAAAATCTGACGTGGGTTCCGTCTCCCCATCACAGGGAAGCTTAGGTTTGGGGGGTCTGAAACATGCCCAACTCTGAGTGGAGCTGAATAGCTGGAAAAGGCCACACGGAGACCTCACCCTTCCTGAAACCTAAAGGGCGTTGGCAGCAACCTGCTTGTTAAGACTACGATAATTTTGCCATCTCGGGGCCAAGGAAAGATGATCCGGGGCTCCCCGTCTCTGGGGCTCTCACCTTGGACGGTAATAGCCACGGCGGACGCTGTTTCCAGGCTCCCAGAACCAGGACTCCGGAAGACTCCACTGCAGTGGTAGTTCCCGCTGTCTGCCTCTTGCACCGCAGCGATGGAGAAGTCCCGGCTGGGTCCCGTAGGACCCAGGGCTGAGCCATCTCGGTAGAAGGTGACCTGAGTCAGGGGCCAGTCTTGCCAGGCCCGGCAGTGCAGAACCACCGGGTCCCCTTCAAATACAGGCTTGGCGGGGCCTTGAAGGATCAGCCAGTCTGCGTCCAGAGCGAGAGCTGTGTCACCACTGTCCCTCCGGGGCGCCCTCCCAGAGTGATGCTCACCGCAGACCCAGGCTGAGAGTGAGCAGTGACTTCTCTAGGGCCTAGGACTGAGGGGGCTCTTCCTGCTGTGGGCCCAAGATGGGGAAGGTCCCCCCTCATGGCCTGTTCCTGGGGCACTTCCTGAGCGGGCCGTGGGGCTGAATGGAGGGGCTGGGTGCTGGGAGGAAGCCTGGGTCTGTGCCCGCCAGGCCCCCGGGTACCTCACCGTAGGACACGATCAGATGGAAGGGCTGGCTGAACGAGTAGCTCCTGAAGTCAGCCTCACTCGCACCTGCGCCGGCATCCGCGCTGTGGCAGCTGTGCTCCTCCGCCCGGGCAGCTGCTTCACACTGCATCTGCAGGAAGCCAGCCGCTGAAGAGGGCATGGCCCAGGGAGAGCCAGAGAAAGAGGAAGGACAGCAGGGAGTCGCCCCCAGGGGATCCTCTCTCTCCTGGAGAATCACCCTTTACAGAGTAAGAATAGGAAACCACCAAATCCTTTTCCCCAGGACTCCCTGGGGGTCTCAGAGGGGTAGTTTTGACCTGGTTCTCTGGCTTCTGGGTGGTCTCAGTGAGCAGGCTGTGGTTTGGGGAAGGTGGAAAGGGGAGAATGAAGGAATAGTGGACTCACCAGTATGACATGCAGCTGAGGGGCAGGAAACCAGAGACCAAAGGCAATGGTGACCCCACGGCAGAGGGACACAGAGCGGGAGGGAAGGGGAGACGTCAGAGTCTAAGTTCATGTGTGTTCACCACGTGCCAGACCCCGCTAGCCCATTCACATAGCATCTTAGTTCATCTGCATAAGCTTCCCAGATGTGCGCCTTCAACCCCACCTACTGTTTAATTTTCATTATTACCAGTTTTTAATTTGCTATAGGGCATGTGCACTTGCTGGAGAGAGAGACTGAGAAATCCCCCCTCAGGGGAGGGGCACTCCCCAATTCCTTCTCCATTCTCCTCTCGTGATTTGGGGCACACATGCACATGTGCCCGGTGTGTTGTCCAAACCACTGGGTTCAGGACTTGAACCACACACAAGGCCATGTGGGATCCAGCCGCCTGAACCACCACATGGCCAGCTAGCCCCATCCCCATTTTATAAAGCTTAAAGAAACAGGCTTCAGGAAGCAAATGAACATAGTCAAAGTTCAAGAAGAGTAAGGACTGGGGCAGGCAGGTCGGCTGTCGGTGCAGAGCCAGGGCTCTCCTGACTCTGCGATGCAGACATGGTCTCCACCAGTCCTCACGCCTTCCTCGGGCCTTCTTCCATCTTCCCATCTTCCCAAACTTCACATCACTCTTCAGCCTTGAATGTTATCTACCAGAAAGCTTTTAATATCTCGCTGTGTCTCTCTTCTTCCCTTATTTACTTATTTATTTGTTTATCTATTTATTTCATCAGAGACAGAGAGAGACAGACAGCACCCCAACGGTCTCACACTGTGATTCTCTGCTCCACCCACCCCAGCCTTCCCAGCCAGCCATGGCCGTGGGCGCCTGCACCTGCCATGCAGGTCGACCGAGGAACTGAACCCACGACCCACCGTCTGGATCACTTCCCCAGAGCAGCACATCACCGCTGTGTCCCAGAGCTGGAGCTCTCCTCTCTCCTTGCCCCTCTTTTTCCCAGCCGTCCCTACTTTGTCCTCTGCCCCTTGGGCTTTACCTGGTCATAGCAGCGCCCTTCCTGTGTCCTTACCTCTCCCCTGGTCCCACCCCGCCTGGACTGACAACCACAGGAGAACTCTGCCTCCAAGTTGAGACTTAGAGCTATGGTTTCTCATCAACTCCCCTCGCCCTCTGCCCTCCTGGATGGAACCAGGCCAGGTAAGGTCAGTTCTCCCGTCGCTGGGTCGCTGCCGCTGTGGCTG